TGTATAAATATTGCTAAACATAACTGAATGGATGCCTGCATCGCTATTTGGCTACCGAGTTATCGCTAAAGCATAATTTCATCTCGTTGGTTGTTCAAACATAATTTTCTATAATGAATGATGCCTTTTCTTTGAAAAAATTCTCTGTAAAGTGCAGAATGGCCCACTTATTTGTTTGCTGCTTTTTACAAGGGTAAAAACGATTGGATTTTCGTCAATTTTCTTTTACTTTTTAAGTGAAAATAGGTCGATGTGTACATAGATAAAGTCAAGGGTGTGCACAGTGCCATTTTTGTACAATTCTGGAATTTTTTTTGAAGTGAAAATAGGTTGATGTGTACATGGATACCGAGTATGTGCAATCCTTAAAAGTGCGTCAAGCAATGGGTGATTCTGCACTTTACCCAAAATTCTATTGCAGACTTTTCGTCATAGGCAATTCCCAAATTGTTAAATCCACAGGATATCAAAAAAGGATTTAAAAATTAAACTAGTATTGAATTGATGCCATTGAAATGGCGTCTTAGGAAATATAGAAACTTACGCTATCTGAAATCAGCGCTACGCTAGATTTGGCGCATTGTTAAATGGTCGCGTTTGCTAGATTTGGCACTTTTGCACATACATTTTCACTGCAATTTTTTTACAGTCCTCAAAACGGAATAGTATTTAAAATTGTATTAACTATTTGGCTTGTTTATCAGTGTTCTTATTTTAAATAAATTGCTAACATAATTATATTGAATGTGATATTGCATAAGTTTCACTGAATTGTGTTTATGATAAATTTATTTCTGACAAATTAGTATTAAGTATTATAACTAATTTATATTAAATTCCTTCTTTGTATTTATTAAATAATTTTTTCTGTTATTTACTGAAGTCAGTTTTGTTTTCAACTTTTGGTAACAAGCACACTTTCTTAAGCCCAGATTGTGCCAGTGCAATTTTCTGTTGCCAAGGCTGCTACGGAAGACAAATACCTTAAATATTTAACAGCCAAATACCTGAACTGTCCTCCCACTGTTTGGCGCCTATCGCTCAAGTAGGTGAACGCGATTTCAGGAAGTTCGCCAAGTGCCAGTTATCTGAGTATCCCCGCCAAATAATAGGCTGACTGCATTTTTTCCTGGTTTAAGAAAGTTTCAAACTACTACAGTCAAAAGTCGTTAATTCGGACACCCATAATCCGGAATGATCTATAATCCGGACCTCAAAGCTACAAACTTTCTGCGCATGCGTCGCGTTCACGCATGCGCACAGGCGTTTACGAGAGCGCGTAAGACCCTTACGGCTGCAAATATGTTTGTGCGCATGCGCGTTTAATGTGTAATGGAGTTATACTCTAAGCTAAAGTTATCTAATTCAGTTAATGTTGCAGATTGCGTTGTTCCTTAATCTTTGAATTGGATCCGGCTTATTATTTTTTGCAGACTGTTAGAGCAATTTTATAAAAGTAAGCTTGAACTTTCGATTATGTCAAATAGAATTTCCGATATATATTTACTACAAAGCGAAAGTATGTTTTGAAATCCGAAATCTGTTTATCAATTTCACGCTGCTCTGCGGCAGAGGGGGGGGGGGCAGAAACGTCATTATTAGATTATGATAGATTAGAAAGATTATGTCAAATAGAATTCCCGATATATATTTACTAATATGTAATTTGTATCTACAAAGCGAAAGTATGTTTTGAAATCCGAAATCTGTTAATCAATTTCACGCGGCGGATTGGAAGTTAATCTGTCAGTACTATCCTTATCTTCAGGGCAGATGTTTTTATTTTATTTGGTTTATAATTCCGTACTAAGTGTAGTATTTCATCTCGATGTACTCCGTCTTTGATATGATTTAAATCAAGTTCCTCATCATTATAATTCGCTTCCGATAGTGAAGAAAGTGACCCAGAGGTTATTGAAAACGAAAACATTTCGATTGACAAATTAGTCGGTATTCTCAACACAGCAATTATAGGACTTGAACAGCTGAACTTTGTAACTAAACAAGAAATTATGTCTGTTTAATAGAATTAAAGAGAAAGTATTATCACATGAAACGAAGCAACTTACATTGAAGGAAATGTTTAATAAAGTAAACAAATAAATATTAAGCTTTTTCTTTTTGTAAATTTTGATACCCTTTAGATCATAATTGTTCTTTATTTCATAAATTACGATTTCATATTTTAAATTTTGTAATTTCTGCATGCCATCTTACCAGATTTAAACTGATGATCTATAATCCGGAAAAATCGATAATCCGGAATCGCCGAAGTCCCGAGGAGTCCGGATTAACGACTTTTGACTGTATATTGAAAAGATAGCAATGAACACCATCCACTACAGATGCAGATCTCATCAAAGCTGTGGCTGTTGCATTTTTTTTTTTTTTTTTTTTTTTTTTTTTTTTTAATTAGCAGATGTATTAAGCATTTCCCAAACAGCTAAACATAATCATCTCAGAAATTTTTGCTGCATCAGTTTCTATAAAGTATACATTCCACATCTGTTTTCAGAGAACATCCTTCTTAAACTTGGGTCGTATGCAAACCATTTTTGAAGAGATTAGTTACTGATCCTTTTTTGCAACTGTGATTCGTTTTGTAAATATTAATTATAAGTACATTTGATCCAGTCATCATAAGGCTTAACAGTAGCAAGGCATAGTCTTCACTCAAAGAAAATTTTAATGTCAGTGGCATATGAAATGTTTTCTCATATTCAAGAATTCATTCAATGAAATACTGTTTCCGGTCAGATAAACTGAAGGAAGCTATGAACATTAATAAAAAAGCCAAGGTGTAAATTGTCAGTGCAATAATGCCAGGCTCCATGTGTCTTCATTTGAAACAAATTATTAACATTTGACTGGGATATTCTGCTTCATGTTCTGTTGCATTGTCCTATTTGATTATTATCTATCCTCCATTAACTCTCCACGTACAGCCCCCACGATTTCCATGGGTTACAAAATCCATCCCGTAATATGTGTCGCATGAAATAGCATGCGTAAGTTTATTTCTCTTGTTTCCAATACAGATCCCGCTTTTTCTCTGTGTAGGCTGCAAATATTGTAATATTCATGTTTCACTTTTTGTTTTGTACCTAGATGGTGTTGCAGATTTATATTATTGTAAGGAAATACTATTGTTTCTTCACAGCTGAACCCGATCGATGCTGCTGCTTGTTTCATTGTGGAATGATAAGAAAATAGTGAAAATGCTTAGTTCTTTTCATGATGCATCATCTGTATCAGTTTATTCAGGGACGGCAAAAGAAAAACTAAAGCCAAAAGTGATTTGTGATTATAACTTTACAGTGGGTGGCATGGACAGATGCAATCAGGAGATGTTGTACTATCCTAGTACCCGAAAACAACTTTGCAAATATTACAAGAAAATATTTTTGTTTATATTGGCTCAAGCAATGTGGAATTTGTATATCATATATAGCAAAATAACAAACACGAGAAAATCCTTTCTTGATTTCAAGCTAGCTGTGATCGAGGAAATCTTCGACAAATACTCTTCTGTTTTTTTAGTATGAATTTTATTCGCCTTGTAGGGAGGCATTTTGCAAGCCACATACCACCAAATTCTATAAAAAGGAACTTAGAAGGCAATGTGCTGTGTATTGCTCCAAAGAAGACAACAGTGGGGGAAAAATACGTAAAGAGACTTGCATTTGGTGTAAAGAATGTGGTTGGATTATGTTTAGAGCCATGTTTTAAAGTTTTCCACACTAAAAAATGTTTTGTATAATATAAAGTGAGTACAAGTAATATGAGCTGTAAAATTAGTTAGCATGTACTATATTTGTCAAAATCAAAAAGATCCTTTGTATTTTTTCAATGCATGCTAAAATCACGTGAGCCTTATTGTATGTTTTTTTAAAAATTAAAAAACTGTTAAAATTCCTGTATTATACTAATTTTGTTTGAGAAAATTAAAAAAAAAAAAAAACTCCCTGTATTTCATGATCGCAATGTATCAAAATCAAGCAGTATGCGGAGGGTTAAAATTTCTCTTTGCCAAAAACACGCTTGAAATGGTAATTTGCAGACATTATAAAATATATATATATATATATTGCATTATGCGAGAAGGTAATAGAACAAAGTGGATCTTATATAAACTTGATAATGAAATAAAGTATTGTACATGCTTATTAATAAAATGAAAGGATTTTTGGAGCAAGCTTACAAACAGTTAAAGGTAACTATTTGTAAGAACAAGGTAATTCATGCATTAAAAATAAAATTACCATTGAAAATGTGATTATGTACAGTATAGATCCTTGAAAATATATACATATCATTTCAACCTAACAAATAATTACGGGTAAACTATTTTTTAAAAAAGGTAATCCATGTATTAAAAATAATACTGCCATTTAAAATATTATATATACAATATAAATTTTGGAAAAAATATTTTTAATTGGAAATGTTTTCTGTTTATATCCCAACACACTTTTAACATTGTATGTTATGAATTTAATATTTTTGATAAAATATATGTTTTATAGTGTTTTATGGTTTTAAATAATCTTCATATTTTGATAGACTAAGTTTATATGTATGTAGTTGACCAGAATTTGCTATTTTACTGTGCAATCATGTCTCTTTCTGTTAATGTCATATTTTTATGGCTCAAATTTAGATTCCCCCCCCCTCCCAAAAAAAATTCAAAATGCATTTTCTGTAGTATAGTGTAATACAGCAATTGAAACTAATGTAATTTAACTGAAAGGGGATGAAAATGATCCATGCATAACCATATGTGTTTTAAGTTTTCTTACCTATGAGATGTGTGCTTTTCTTAGCTTTCACCAACAGAAATGAGGGAAAGACCCATTAAATATAAATGCTTAAAAGATCTGAATGACTTAAATGGCTAAATTGTGTATTCTTCTTGCATAGCTTGAAAAGAAGAATTAATGGTTTTAATTTTTAGATTTTTTATCTTTTTTCAAACTATAATTGTACTTATATTATTTTAGAGTGTATCATTGTGGATTCCTCACAGAGTCCTCATCTTCAAATGGCAGGCTATATAAGCAGATCTGTATCATTAAGCCCAATTGATCCAAATCCTCCGAGCCTGCCCCCTGTAACCAATAATATGAAGCAAGGCAATGGAAGTTCGCCACGAATGGCTGATCTTACTAGCTCACCACTGAAGATATTTGTTTTAGCCAAGAAAAAAATTAATGATATTTTTGCTGACGTAAATGATTATGTTGAAGAAACATATGTTTTCCTTAAAAGTAAGCCCATGTACTTTATGTTATTTATAACTAAAATATAAACTCTCATTGTTAAAAAACTAGGTACTTATGTATTATCCTGTTGACCAACCAAGTAGATCATTTTAGCACCAATTATGGATGACTCACTTCCTTTAGAATTCCACAGTAACGGTTAGCAACCGTTGTTGAAATTTTCACCAGTGGTCGATCGGATAATACTTAAGTACCAAAAACTAATACAAATATGGAATTTTTATATGCATTTAACTATATACAGCACATAGTCAGAGATCTGGAATCGGCAAGTCCAAATTTTGGAAAGTTCCAAATTTTAGATCACTAGTTTAAATCTAGTAAGATATTTTGTAACATTGGGATTTCACTTATTGTTTAGGTCAGTCAGAAAAATGCTAAACCTCTCTCACAACCACTAAAGCCCAAAGGTGTGATCCTGTCCAACACCAATACATGAATGTGTTGTCATTGGCCATGGTGCCTATTCCCTTGCCAACAAGTGTTTGAAAGTGATATGAAGAAATCTCAGTTAAAAAACCACATTTGGAGCACATCTGCTTTCTTTATTTGAATACTAAATTATCCATTTCTAGATTAATAAGGGAGGAGGTTTTCTTTTATTATTTTATTTATTGGCTTGTCCAGATTTCAGACTGCTGTAGTTCCTAATTAATTTAATTTCCAGCTGATTATGCTTTTATCATATTAATGAATTTCATAAATATCTGTTTATATATGATTTCCAAATATATATTTTGTTTCAACATCCATCCGAATGTAACATATAAGCAAGTTCTATTTGAATTAAAGTTACTTAATAAAATTTTAATGACTGACTGCACATTATCAAGCAGTATTTTTCATGCATAATTTGTTATTTCACATAGTTTGGGGTAAATTGAATATACCAAAGTTTGTAAGAGTTTTAGATGTGGCTCGGTATTGGTCCTCACTCATTATAATTCCTTGTTGCTAAAACTGTCAATTTTATTAACACAACTTATTCATAAAAAAACAGAAGTTACTGCATAATACTTATACATGTTACTACATATGGAAAAAGTTATTTGTAGAAAATTCAAAGTTGCTTTTGATACAGTATTAGTACTATGATAATTGATCAAGAGTTTTGAACTCCACAAGTTTGAAAACCACAAGCGGCACTATGATCTACATGATTTTTATTTTATTAATGTAGGTCAGCTTCTTTTAGAAACCTTTGAAAGTTGCCTATACCAAGACAAAGTTTTTTTATTTAATTCAATTGACTCAGCATATATTCTTATACTCTGTGATGCTTGCTTTTAAAGAATAAAATATATTGTCTAGTTATACAGGTGATTAAATTTTTGGTAAATATTTATGGATTGAAATTGCACAAAAATAATTTCATAAACACTTTCCCTGGTTGTAAAGTGTTAAAGATCTAACTTTTGTTTTTGTCTTTTCACTTGCCTGACAGTAATCAGATCAAGTAAATTTCATTGTGCCAAAAGCTAAAGACTGTGCATGTCTTTGACTTAGGCTTTGGGCATCTTAATAGATGACAGTAGGAATCGGACCAACTGTGTCCCAGCTTTTAAGGAGATAGCCCCCAAGAAAAAATTCTAGGATCTCCCATCCAACTTTCCCTACCATTAATCTCTTAAGAAGATTTTTGGCTTGACAGTATTTGAAATGTCTCCATGACTCTAAGATACTATACGTTTACAAACATCCATGCAATCTGGGATTCAGACACAGGCTATATTAACCAACTTTTCTGACATTCCATAAGGGCAGAGAAAGCTAATTTGCTTTGGTTTTATAGTAATAGAGAAAGACTTAAAAATAATATATTTGCTGCTAATAAAAGTAGTTATAATTATTAGAAATAAAAAAAATGCTCTTTTATTCTTATTCTGCTTTCAGTGACATGGTTATCAGTGTGCAGAATTTAATTTAAATTGTATTTATTTCATGCTTGTTAATTTTGCGTGTAAATTATTAGCTAAAAATTAATTTCTTTCTAATATTGTTCTAGCTTTGTGCAGCGACAGTGATGTAGTTGCTGAGCAGCAAATTTTAGAAGTTTATCAATTGCAAGATAAAATAAAAAACATCAGGGAAGTGCTTGCTAGAGATCACATGAAAGTTGTGTTTTTTGGGAGGTAATTTACAGAACTTTAAATTATGTAGGAGATTTTTTAATTGCTTTAAAAATTATATTTAAAATTTTAAAGTTTATGTATATTTTTATTATTTTCTGAAAATATTGTATTTAATTTAAAACATATGCTAATTTTTTGTTAATGTGCTATAAGGGCGTATTTATTTTCTTTTCCTCATTTATAAATATTTTATGCTGCAGAACCAGCAATGGGAAGAGCTCAGTTGTAAATGCAATGCTGCAAGATAAAATCCTGCCTAGTGGCTTGGGGCATACTACTAATTGCTTTCTTCAAGTAGAGGGATCAGAATCCTCAGAAGCATATGTTCTTACAGAAGATTCATCAGAGCCACAGAGTGTTCAGGTATAATAATTAGAAGATCTGATTTTTTATTTATATACTCGTTAATTTTATTCGTCACATAAGATTATAGTCTGTTCTTGGTAGTGGCGCATCTTGAATTTTCATGAAAGGCATGCTACATAATGATAAATTTTTAGACAAATTATATTAGTGAGTGAATTAAAGTTAGCATTATATGCATTGAAAAGCTGGGTATAGCATTTGCATATTAATAATATTAAATGCTGCATATCTTATAAAATAACAAAATCTATATAATAATTCACCTTTTTTAAGGTAATCTTTTCAACTGAGGTCTACAAAAAATATATTGTGGAATGTCATAGATTGTCAGTTTTTCTTGGTTTGAGCAGATAACATTATGCGTAATCACTTAATCAGTTATTTATTCATCTTTGTGCTGATAAAAATTAGCCCTGATGTAGTTGATGCTGACAGTAGTCACAAACTTGTGAATCAGTCTTTTAAATTTTATTCATATTATTATGAATACTGCTGTTTTTTATTATTATTATTATTTATTATTATTATTCAAGGTATAAATTCATGTGTAAGTTTGTTTCCTGTATTCAGTAAGAGAAGTAAG